GTCTCGCCATTAATTTGGGGTCCTTGGTCTGGAAAACGTTGAAGACCCCTAATTTAGGGGATTTGGAGAAATGGAGTCTGAATACAAATGTAAGAAACATTTTCTGTTTCTTTGTTGTTTCCATGTGACAAAATGGTAGCACATCAAGTAGGGTGAAGCCTGAGTATCTAAAAACAACTTCAACTGTGCAACTGAAGTCCTGCATCTTTAAATATGACTCTCCGAATGTTCCAGTCTTGTGGGGTTAAAAAAAAACAAACAAAAAAAAAACAGTAAAAATATGTAGTTGCAGGAATGCTTAAGGTGTGCCAAATGTGTAAAGTTCAAAAGAACCAGGCTTGTGGTTGGTGGCAACATCATCATTTAAAATATACAGACACGCTAAACATTTTTTAAAGATCTGTGAGATTTTTTGGCACACTGACTGTTTACAACCGCTGGCAGGTAATAAGGTACGTCTAATGAGGCTTCTACGACACATCCTAAATGTTTCAGGAGTGAGCCTGTAGTAAAGCAAAGAAAACAAACACATGTGTCTGGAACAGTGAGAAACGTCTACTACTAGCCCACTGCGTCTCTCTCGGAGGTGCGACTTGCTAAAACCAGCTGTACCTCCTTGTGTTGTTGGCACGTTGACTGTGACGATCTTGCTGTTTGCAGGTAGGGGGAGTTTTGCGGTCACAACCTTTCCACTGGCCGAGGTCCCTGTAATGTGCAGGGTATGCCCAGTAGAAGTGGCTGTAGGAGTCTCTCCGCCTGTGCCTAAAAAGTTTATTAAAGGTATTTTTAAACAGAGAAAAATAGAAGCAATACTGGAAACTGCCGGAGTAATTTTAGGATTAAGGTTGAAGATGTAAAACGGACAAAGAAAGATGTGAATGAGGATCTAGAAAGGTTTGCTCTCTGATGTACCTTGTGTGCTCTGACCCTGCTTGACCCAGGTGGCAAAGGACTGTTGGAAGTTCTTGTTTTGTTGGAATGTGACAGGGCTGCCCATCTTGGTGGACAGCACCACCTTGGCAGTGGGGGTGCCCTGGCCTGAAACTGAGCCAACGATGACTTTGGGTGTGGCAGCAGGCGTCGCCGGAGTCCCTGCTGGTGTGACTGCGGCTGACCCGGACTTTTGTTCCAGACGTTTCTGCAACAGTGAACAAAAATAGTAAGCAGATGAAAAAAAAGCATGGTATAGAAATAAAAAAAAATCTGACACATAAAACTGTGATATTATCAGTTAGTGAGCTGCAGAGAATCATTATTTTCTTGTTATGTTTGGATCCCTTTAGAAAAACACTTCTAGCCTTTAATGCCGCCCACATGCTTGAATTAAAGGGTTCCTTAAAATAGCTCTGATAAAAATCAAGCAGCATGTCAGCTGAAGAAAGCAAACTTACTTTGGCTTGCTCTGCTGCCTGGGCTTTCTCTTTCTCCACCCTGTAAAATCAACAAAGAACCTTTCACATGGAGAACACTTCACAGAACTTATTTCGGATTTCAAAAAATACCATAAAAATAGGCAAATTTCCGCCCAGTCTTATGATGGACGTTATGTGCACCACATTCTGTCCAAAAATAAGGGAGCACATTTAAAAGGAACAGAAGACATCTAAAGAGGCAAAATGTTGCTTTGATTGATAACATTTAACTGTTGTTGGATTAAGAAAAACAACTATAGATGGCCTTGATGTTTTTTTGGGTGTCCAGTTTTAAACTGTTCTTTATACAGTTTTTTGTTGTTGTTTTTGTTTAATCAAAATAACTTTTTCTTTCCTTTAAAATCAGAGGAAACATTCAGGGTCTTATCTGCACACGTTGCAGCTCGGAGAAAAGTGTTGTTCTGCTGAAAAGATGCTTGGCCCCTGACCTTTCTGAGAAGGCTCTTATCTCCCAGAGGTCCAGCTCCTCCTCAGGAACCCACGTCTCAATCACCACTGGGCCGGTCTGTTTCGTGGGCTCAGGCTTTTTGGGACGCAGAGCACTGGAGCGGAGCCCTTTCCTCTGAGGAGTGTGCGTTTCTGGAATGTTGGACAAGTTAGTAAAAAAAAAAAAACCCAAAAAAACAGAAAGGATATCCTAAAAACAGTTGAATTAAGTCAAACATCCACTTCTCACACATCCATATATTATCACAGATTAGCTCTACATTGGGAAACTGAATCCCCTGGAAGAACCTGAAGGTCATCCTTAGAGATCCTAGACGATTCCCATATCAGAATTTCCTTGTTTAACATCTTTCAGATTACCAAATGTTTGACGTGCATTTATTAATAAAAAATTCAAAACTCTAAAGCTGTAGAGTAACTGTAAGGCACTAAAAAATAAAAAACACAAATAAGCAAAACAAAAAAACAAAGCAAAAAAGTTATTACTTTATTGTCATAACTTTTCTTAAAAATGTTCTTAAAGTGAAGGGTATAGAACCGACTGGAGATTATAGATGCACCCTACTGTAGATTATGTTGTATTTTATTTAGCAAATAAAGTAGAATTAGAGATATATAGATTACAGAATAATTAAAAACTAAGGTTTGAAAAATGACTTTCCGATATTAGAGAAAAATGTTATTGCTTTGTAGTATTGACATTTCTATAACCGATTGTCTGAGCTGTACCTGAATGCAATATTAGGAAATTTATCTGACTAGCAGGTGATCTATGTCTGTGTTCACTCGATGTTTCAGATAGAAGGATTTTATAGTTTTCATGCTAACAGAAATGAGGTTTCAACATTTCAGGATGAGAAAATATCTTAAGTTTGGTAACTTGTAATCAAATATTCATAGTATTTGATGTTAATCTGTAAAAGAAAAAACAACAACTTTTAATGGCAGAGTGAGCCAGAGTGACTAAATGATAGAAGTGGCCCTAAACACTGAAACAATGTGTACAAAAAACCCTCTTCCAAGACTTGGATTTGGCAGGCTGTGTGAGCGAAATGAGCTAGCAAATCACAATGGAAGCTGCCACAAAATCAGAAGATATCAATCCAAACTGGAATAGAAAGATGGGGCGTTAATGTGGTTTTTTTTTTTATATATATATATAAAAAAGACATGAGTTGAATGGAAAAGAGAAAAATCAGGGCTTGGCAAAAAAGGATAATAATTAAACTTTGGTTGCAGCAGCAGTCACACTCCAGTTTTCCTGGAAACTTTTCTGACACTGACGTTTTTCCTAGGTCATCTTTGGTTGGGAGACAGTGAAGTCGGTGGTTTGGGGTCTGGATGATCAGGGATCATCGATTCAAGCTCCCAACCCGAGAATTTCTTTCATGGCAAAAGACAACATGATTTAAAGCAATGTGACTAATATTTACTCTGTCTCAGAAAACGATGAATAAAATGGATCTCTGTTTTTCTAAATGTTGATTTTATCAACTCATGATCTTGACAAAAATTACTTTAAGATGACCCACAGTGAGTGCAGCCATCTCAACTCAACTTGCCACTTTTGAGGTTTTCATTCAAGCCCTATTTTTTAATCATACAAAATTAAACATCAAGAAGATTCTGAAATCTATTGCTTTTCTCCTCAATATTTTAAAATTAAAACTCTCCAAACCTTTAAGACTCAATGAGCCCTGAAGAATGCAAATGTACCTTTGGGCGTCTCGGGCACTCCGATTGGGCAAATGATCTTGCGGATGCAATACTCTGAGCGGATGCCGTAGGGTCCCACATCACGCCGCTTTATGATCTCTGTGGTGGTGATTTCAGTGTCTGATGTCTCTGTTGCAATGAGTGGGGATAGGGCTTTGGTTGGTACGGTGATGAGGACAAGACCCCAGAAAAAAAAAAAAAAAATGGAGGAAATGCACTCTAACATAGAAACTCTCACAGCCACTTTGTAACAGTTCTTAGCTAAAAACAGGGAGAAGCTTGAGCTCATATTTGCACATCTTTAAAACGGTGTTTCCCTTCTCTTTCATCGAAGGACCGTTGTAGGTACCAGATCTAAACGGGTGGTCTGATCTGCTTGGGTCTTGCACATGCCAGTCGTGTTACGCTACGCTTTGATACATACATGTTCGGAGTCGGGAGCTTCTGTAGCTTTAGCATGTCTAATGACCGATGAAGTTTTACCTGATTGATAACTAAACTGTATATATCTGTTTATGGTGAACAAAGTAACTGTTAGAGCATGATATAAAGGGGGAGAGCTGGGAAGTGCTGTGGCTAGTTGTTCTCTCTTTAGCTCGGTCAGTTAGCCATATTAAGCTACATTACTTTTAAATTTGTGTCAACAACAAGCGTTCGTTTTCTACAAGTAGAATAACGGTTTTATTTGTCTAAAATCTCTACGAAAGTAATTTTAAGATGTCCCATTTGTCTTCCTCTACCCTCAGATCTTAATAAAAAGAATAAAAATAAACTGAGATGTTTTTTGTCATCTTTTTAAATGGCAGAGCTCAGTCTTAGAAGGCAGTACTTTCCTTCAAGACTGACAATGACCGTTCTCTACTTTCGGCTACTTTAGATCGCCAATGAAATGTGAAATAATGGCAAATATAGGTAATAATATGTTAAGACTCCAAAAGAGATGTGATCCTTAAAAAAAAGAGGTTGCCATATATTGACGTCATAAGAAGCAGCAGGACCCCGGGCAGATCTGACCACCTTAGCAGATCTGGTACCTACAGCGTCTGTTTTTAATGGTCTACCTGTACGTGTGGTGCCTACGGCGGCAGACGGCTTCACAGCCATGTCGTCCCACCTCAAACAGGCCCACAGGAGCCTCAGCATGAGGCTCACGCCGGCCAAAGCCTTCACCGTCTGCAGCCGGTACCTGGAGGCAGTGGCCAAAGGAAGCATTAGTCATGCATAAACACATGTAAACATTTCCAGGTCCCCAAATTACCAACGTCAAAGTTTCCATTATTTTCCGGAGTGGTAAAGACTTCCTCGGAGTTACAGAAAACCAACTGCAGTACAACCATGTAACTAGAAGATGAAGATAAACTAAAATCGGACTTTTGGGAATATAGCTGCAGTTCATGGTGATTCTGTGTAACAGTGGCGTTCATCTTTAATAAATACTTTCATGCTCTGTGGGAATTTAAGGATCATTGCTCACTAAAAACCGGATCAAAGAACACTTTTCTTTCACAGTTCATTTAGTCGCCTAAAAATTTACGACCGGATGTTGTTCATCCATGAATCATTTCCAGAAGAAGACATTTTTTCTTGTTTGGATCATTATGGCCAGGCATACAGTGAATTTGGCTCTTAGACACTGTGATTAAAAACATCTCGAGCATCTAGAAAAACACGATCCTCGCAGGCCTCTTACTGAGTAAGGGGTTTAAGTTGATATGTACATTCTTGCATGCTACCACAAGTGGGGAAAAAAAAAAAAAAAACCCAGCATAAGCTGTAGAGCTTGGTCAATACATGGAGTTAACATGGTGACACCTCTCTGACCACCGGGTGATTCATGTCTGCTCTGGGACTCTGAAGTTTGGTCAAAACAAGCAGAGGTGCCTGTATGACAGCGGGCTGGGAGCCCCAGTGTTCTCCAGGGGCCAAAAACTGCAAATGGCAGAAGGGAGGGGAGGAGACAGGGGAGGTGAGCTAAGAGGGGAAGCACCTCTCTAACAAAACTAGGAAGGGATTTAAGGTTGATATATGATTTTTGTTGTATTTTAAAGCAGTTCCCTTATTTCAAATTCTTTTTAACCAAAATTACTATTTTACTTATATTTTCCTCTATACTAACCACAAAGATATGGGTGTTTGGCTTCAGGGTTTCACTGATTTCATGGCCTTAAAATGCACTCTGCAGCATTCCATTGTCAGACTACTTTACTGCTCTGTGAAAAGCTGTTAATTCTAGCTGGTATGCATGCTAGCGGCAGCTCTTTCATCTTTCATCCCTTCTGTGTGACAGCAAACCTACTTTAAACATATTACCGTCCCCTAAAGGACTGGGGTCTGAAAGTTGGTGTCTAACTCTTGTTGCATGTGAAATAAAACCTAAGGGGCTCTGTGATTTGGAAATGGCGTTTTGTAGGGAAAATTAATTATCGAGCCTTAGATCAATCACCTGTCATGTTCCTTTTAGAATTTATACCCAGACTGATCTTAAGTGTCTGTCTCAATTGACTATATTTAGTTATATAGTTTTGTTAATGGCCAAGACTTTCTTTTTTGTCACTTAACTGACACAAAAATTGGCTTTTAAAGCACAAACCTTTGTTGTTATACAGCACGAAGAGGATTTGATCGTCAAATAAAATTATCCAAAATAAAAAAAAAGAAGCAAAATAAACCAAAAGAAGGGTGAACATTGGTTAAAATTTTCAGTGTTGGTGCTCAGAAGACATGCTGAGGATGTTGAGTATTTTACTCCAGTCGGCACAGAAGGAAAGTGGGAGAGCATTAGTGTGCTACTCACTGGCTGAATTTGTAGAGATCACCTTTTACTCTAATTGCTCTGCACTTCATTACTGTACTGCAGATTATGAAGTTGGAAAGGAGATGATACATACCCAAAGAAAAACCGTGTCGTTAAGATGAACTAAGTCTTTCTATATCAGGACTTAATTGGAAATTACAGCCTTAAGTGTTAGATCTCCAAAATGAAATCAATAGTCATTTATATAGAGTATTTATACAAGCAACAATCAGAAATTTATGTATAAAAAAGGATGAAAATTCTGAATAAATGAAAACTTAATTGCCTTGAAGTGAAAATAAATGACAATAAAAATGGCAGCGATTTCAGTAGGGAGCCTCTCAGAATTTTAGTACGACATTTTACAGGCACCATAATGACATAAATTCAGACATTTCCTTGTCGTCTTGTTTGAAAACTGTGAGAACGGATGGAGTTAGACCCAGTGCTCATCAGACAGAGAACGCTGATAGATAAAACAAGAGAAGCAGATTTACCTCCAAGTGATGCCAAACGTGGGTCTGGGTGAGGGATACGGCCAGATATCCTGTGCTGGCTTGGCGTTGTAGCTGAACACAGGAACCTCACGGAATCCTCCTCGCCTGGCCAGAATCTTCAGGTCGTCATAGGGCAGAACGAAAATACTCCTCCTGCTGCTTTTGGTGATGAACTTGCGGTAAGAAGGCAGAGCTGAGTCGGAGCGCATTTTCTTTGTGCGCGAAAATCGGAGAAGGCGCACGCGTCCTTTAGTTGAAAAGCACTGTTCCTGGCTCACAGAGACGGACGATGCGACAGTTTTACAGCCGGTGCCTTCGGATGACTCATGGACGCAGAGCGAGCTCGTCGTTCTCTGCTCCTGCAGCGTCGTTTCCTGGCTGTCTTCTGACAGACCGTCGTCTCCAGAGCAACACACTTTGGTCACTGTTGTTTTGGTCATGCTGCAAAGGGTAGAGACGGCGCTGCTCTTTGTCGTCACCACAGACACCGTAGAATCACCCTGTGTTTTCTGGGCCACCTCGGTCTTCCTCGTCTCCGTGGAGACTGTCATGGTGGTCGTCGTGGAGGTCGTGGTTACCTGAGTGACGGTTGTCTTGAATGGTTCTGCTGATTCGCTGTTACTGTTCTCCTCTGCAAAGCCATCACTCAGGCTGGACTCCTCTGCTGAAGGAACAGGAGAAGGAGCCATTCGGATGATCTTTACTGCAGGAGAGCATTTGGTCTCTCCTGGATAAAAAGCAGAGGTGCTGTTGTTCCGTAGATTGCTACCATCTTTTTCTCCAACTTTGTCCAAATTGTTTTCAAGCTTTGCCATCTTCAGTGGAGGGCTGTAATCCTGGTCCAGTGTCGCCTCAGAATCTGAAAGTGCCTCTTTCCCTTTTAAACCCATGCTGTTGTTTACTGAGGCCAAGTCCCCGTTCACTAAAGGCCTCTGCTGCGCGCCATCTTCCAAAGAGACCAGCAGCCTTTGCTCCTCAGTGGTTTCAATGTTGTTTGACTCCGGCTGGGGCCTGTCAGTCAGCACGCCGTTGTTCAAGCTTTCACTAACCAAGCTGTCACTCCCGTTTACCCGAGACACAGGTGAAACGGGCTTGGGACTGACTGCTATGGTTCCATTGTGTCCAAAGCTCTGTAAATTCCCTCGGTTCTCCTCTGGCCCAAAGCCATTTTCCTCTGAGTGCACAGAACTGAGAGAGTCTGAGGCTTTAAGAGAGGATACGTTTTTACTTTTGGTTTGGTCAAGCTCACATGGAAGTGTTGTGACAGAGTCAGACTCTGGATTTAAACAATGTTCAGCCTTGATTACATCTGATGCAACACAGGCTGTTTGTTGCCCTATTGAGCTATTAGCCCCCCCTGCGTTTTCCTCTTTCTCATCTGGCATTTTAACAGATTCTTGTCCAGAATCCTCAATGCTATTTTCTTTATGCCCTGTAGTCCTTTCCTCTGAGTTTTCCTTTAAGTCCTGGGGCATAGAGGCAGTGTTACTCAGAGGTGAATCTGCACCTGAACTTGTATTGCAACTGTTTTTGGGTGTGCAGTCTGAAACAGAGGAAGGAAAAGTGTTTATGAGTTCAGTCAGATTCTCTTTTCCTTCTTGTTCTTCTTTTTTTGCTGCCCCTGACGTCTCTGTTGTGGAAAGGCTTTCTTCCACTTTCACCGCATCTTTGCTTGTGAGCTGCATCTGTGCGAGTTTGTGTGGCCTAAGCGGCGACCGGGGGCGGACCGGAGTGCTGGGAACAGAGGGTGCACAGGAAGAAGCGGGTGCCGGTGTCAGAGATCTGGATACAGAAACCTGCTGTCGCTGCTTCTCTTCAATAATGTGCTGCTTCACTCTGCGCTCCAGCAGGCTGTCCAGCTTGGAGGTCTTCACCTTCTTCTTATAAGCGACTCTCGTAAGGAAGCCCTTGCTGACGTCTACGACATCGTGGTTGAAGGGTCGCTGAGAAAGGTCTGAAGGTTCCTCTTTAGGGGCAGCCTTCTCCTCCTGAATGCTGGACTCTGGAAAGATAAATATATTCATGTTTCAATTTTAAGTATATTTAAAGTATATTTGTGTTTTTGTTTACTTTGTATTCCTTAATCGATGTTTAAAGAGACAGAGAAGCAGTACGCATATCATTATATATTGTGATGCATAAAAACACCAGATTAGCCCTTCTGATGCCGCAGCAATCTGAGTGTAGCTTTTTTAAAATTAAAGGTATAATGGAAGATATTCTTTTTCCGGGTGGGTCATCAAAATAAATGGTCCTCCTAATTGTCAATCATTCTGGTGATATGTTTATGTAAGGTCGTTCAACATGCTTGTCCCCATTTTCAATTAGCAGTGGTCAGTCTGACTTTTGGAAAGTAAGCTTGTATGATTGATGCAAACAGCAACTTTCAAACAAGGAACACGAGGAGAAATTGGCTCATGCATGCTCTAGCACACGTTTAATAGACGTTCCCTCTCGGGAGACGGTACAGGGTTGTGAATGTGCTTCTTTTTTTTTAAGGCGGAGTGTGTGGGTCTTTTTGAAAATTCGCAAAATCCTCCATTATACCTTTAAGCTTACTAAACGTTTAGCTGTATAGAATCAGAAGTTAAGTAACACTTCAAAGCTCTGAAGAGTAATACTGTACTTTGTTCCTTTGGTGAGTCAGTAGGAACCACTTCCATCTTTACAGGGGGATCTGCAGGCTTCTGTTCTTCTCCATTTGGTTCTTCATCCTTGTTCCTCTCCGCACCCTCAGTAGATCCCACATCCTCAGCAGGTTTCCCGGAAAGTTCAGTGGAGACCTCATCCTTCGTTTCAATACTTGAGACAGAACAATCCTGAGATTCTGGTGCAACTATACTGGGCCGCCGGCTCAAGTCCAACAAGGTACACCTCTTGCCAAGTTTAGCATCTGTAGAAAAACAAAAGAAGGACAGCTTATTTCACAAAAGATGTCATTCTAAAAGCCCTTAAAGGTGTAAAAAAAAAAAAAAAAGGCATGCAGGAAAGGACCCGGGTCGCCCGCGTTGAGGAAAAAAAAAAAAAAAAAAAAGGCATGCAGGAAAGGACCCGGGTCGCCCGCGTTGAGGACTAAGGCCTCCATACATGGGCTGTGAGCCACCTTCACGCCCCACATACTCTGCTTTTCGAGAGTAATTTAGTTCTTGTACTCTCCGACAAACTTCACGCTATTTTATTTGTAATTTATGTAACAAGTAGTACATAAAGTTGCAGGAAAAATAAACATATCTTAAATTGTTATGCTCTGATAACAAAATGGGTCATGCATAGTAGTGACACTCCTAAATACAATCAAGTTTAGCCAACTTTTTTTTGTTAGAAACCAAGTTAAAAACAGGCAAATTGGGTGTTATCTCTCGTTGTTAAAAATCCTGACTTTCTTTTTGAAAACTTTGAGATTTGCTTGAGAACATTACTGTAAAATAAACAACAGCATGAAGACTAATAAATACAAAAAATCTCTAAATATCTCATGAAGATGGAAACTGGAAATGGTTAACACCAGGCTGTCCAGGATAACAGCAACTACAGAACACCCAGGGTAACACTGGAGGAGTTCCAAAGCTCAGATGAAAGAATCTGCTGTCAGAACACTAACCCCTCAAATTGGACATTTATGGAAGAATGGCCAGAAAGCTAAAAGAAAGCAATGAGAAGATCCTTGCAAACTTTGACACCTGCAATGTCAGAGACATCTGGCAGGTGTTTTAGGGGAATAAAGCCAAAATATTGCTTACTTCTCAATATTGTTTTGAAAACGATAGGAAGCAAGCGATAGATTGTCCCACAGAGTTTTGGCTCAGTGGGTCAAAACTGAAATCCACAGCATGCCTTTCAACATGTTCCTTGTCTGAAACATCTGGAAACTGTATCATTTCCATCCCTACATTCATAAATGCAACAATGTTTTGTGCTCCTTTATCATATCCAATATAACAGGGCTGTAGTGAGGATAACTTTACAAGAAGAATTACTTTGAGCTCTTGAATTGGGCATTAATGAGCGCAAATGTTCAATGTCTTTTTATATAAAAGATATATTGATTAAAGTGATCAAATCCAGACTCATAAAAAAAAGGTTTAGATCAAAGGGAGATATTTATCTATATCATTCTGATGGCTAGGAAAGTTAGAATAAATCTTAAAGTCAAATAAATGTTGACTAATTTTTTTCAAATATAAAATTTGTACTACACCTTCCAGTTCTTTGCGGTAGTTGGCGTTGGTGTTTCCAGGAAGTTTTGGGGAAAAGCGAGGCACATAGGTCTTACTGATGAAACTCCAGCCCCCGTAACCTGTAACACGATACTCCTCTCCCTTCTGCTTCCACACCTACGGATGGAACAAAAAAAATAAATAAAAGAGTAAGACAAATAAATATAGTATTATTTTAGTAGACTGTTTCATCTGATTTAATGTAGAAAAGAAGGTAGATATTTTGCCTTTGCTCCATCTAAACAGCCACTAGTGTAAATTGAAAACACAGAACCTTAACTTTGCTTCTATTATTGGGGTTGCAGACAATCGTCTGTACGTCTTCCTTTAAAGGAAACATGATTACCTGGTGCTTGATTGGAAAGGTGTACTTGACCCAGGTTGCTTGTTGCATCGTCTCCTCATCTTCCAGCTTCTTTTCCCTCTTCTTCACCTTCTCTTTCTCCTCGCGCTCCATTGACGTCATACGGTTTAACCTGAAAGTTATGTTGTATTTCTCATTAACAGAAAACATGAGGTGTTTAATGGCACCTGACAGAGTGTTTCCCAAAAGGCAAGAACATGAGAGTTGCAGAAAGACGAGTGATTCGTGATGTTGATGCACTGTACGGATGCTAGAATGTCAGCAGGGATGCCGGCATCGACTGATGTTAAACAAATCGGCTCAATAATGTAAACTAAGACGGTGTTAATTGCGACGACACTATAAGATGAAACAGTGATGCTCAAAGAGTGACGTTTGAGGGGAACCAAACATTTTGAAGTCAGAGAGGAAGAAAAGGGTGAGAGAGGGAATGACACACTGAAGGAAAGAAAACAAGAAATGGAAAGAGAAAAAGGAAAGAAAAGGATCTTGGGTGGAATGGGGAAGGAAGGAGACAAGAAAAGAGAGAAAGACACACCAAGGAACGAAGAAAGAAACACAAAAATAAAAAGTGAGCAAGGAGATAGATGGAGGACATGGGGATTAAAAGGAAGGAAGAAATTATGACAGAAAAAAAGGAAAAAAGGAGAGAAGGAAGAAAGGATACCAGTAAGGACACAACACAGATGTAGGAATGGGGAATGAAGTCTGGAAAAGCAAGAACAGAAAAAAGAATCCATTTTCTTATTTTAATTTTCTATACTTCATCAATACCTTAGCCGAATCCTGTAGCTCTGCAGATTGCATAGGGTGCTTATTTCATGTAAAATAGGACTTCTGCTTTGATTTCAAATAAAAACCTGAATTCACATTACATTTTACTTCAAAACGCAATTTGTCTTCCTCCTTTGATATTCATGATTTTAATGCAAACCCAGATTTTCTGCTTCTAACTTTGTAAAATCCTGGACAATCACCTCTATGAAAGGGTCTTATGTTGGCGCTGCAGTAGAGGCAGAGCTGGGTGGTGCTGGTCGTGGACGTGCAATCAAAATATTATGCCTCACAGCTAGGGTGGGCCGTTTAGACGGATCTGCTTACAATCGACTTTGCCCAAAACACTCGGGAACATACTCCGTGCACATGCACCGATTGGTCGGCAGGAGGAGGAAAAAGTAGAAACTTCAGTGATTAAGACGTTTTCTTGTTTAAGGGACGCCTCCAGAAATTAATATTTTATTTACCCAGGAGACGCAACAACCAGTTATTTGTTGTATGTTAACTAGTCTGAAGCTTCTGAAACCTTTTACATTTAATATTTGAATTTGGATCGGAGCAATAATAACTAGAAAACACTTAAAGTGTGAATGATCACCTGCTGCCTTACATTATTTTATCTCATTACTGACATTTATGTAAAAAAGTTTGTCATATCTTCCAGAAGCAGACAAAATTTCTGTTTGTTTTATTTAACATTAAAGCTAATCTGATCCCGTTCTACACGTTTGCTTTGAATCTGCGTTAATAAGATGATGCCATTAAACAGACCACACAACCAAGCTCAGTATATACCTGGTATGTCCAAGTGAGTCTTTCCAGACAGGCAGCATTGCCACAGGTTTGATGGCACACTCCAGAATGGCCAAGGCTAGAGCAAACTCCCTGGCCTTACTGCACATCTGAACAGCTTTGATCCAGTTGGATCTACAAAAAGAATAACATGATTTTTTTTTTCTCAGTTTGAATCCAACATTTACATTTTCTAAAGAAATCTGTTATACAAAAAAAAAAGAAAAGAAACTAGAGGAATACTTTTGAAATAGATCTATGGGGTTCTTACCTGTGTGAGGCCCAGTTTGGATGCATGAAAGGAGAAGGAACGTTGTTCTCAAGCTGGATGATGGTGAGCCTTAACGTGGAGATAGTTAGGACCTTTGAACCAAAAATGGAGCCGTTCCACTTGAACTCTCCTGCTGGTGTCATACAAAACTTATGGGCCAGATGCCTCCTCTTGTCATGGTCCTGTTCAGAAAAACAATCAATCAATTAGAGATCCGTTAATCATTCCGCCACAGATAAGAATCTGACAATCTCCTCTTGGTCAGGTCTGATTATTGATCGTCTGGTAAAAGGAAAGAAAAACACTAACAAAAATCAGTTTTACCAGGATTCATTTAGACTCTAAATTTTAGAGCTATCCCACAATTTTAAGCTCCAAACATGTCGATAAACAGAATTTACTTAAGACACATCCTTAGATATAGAATGGAGGATATTATTGAATGTGTGTATTTTCTCTTTGATTCAACACTGAAAGCTGCAGCAGGTTTTCTTCTGCCACAGTATTCAGGAGGAAGATCTAAATCAGTTCAAACTGTTACGAAGAGAACAGATGCATCTTAAAATTAGTTTTTGTTCATTTTGTTTAGAAATTAAATTTAAAGTTCTCAAAGTATGAATGCAGTTGTGAATACTGTATTTATAATATTCTAAAACCTTGAATTTGTAAACCAAAAAAGAAGTTAATAATAAAGAAAATGATTGGAGTTACTAAGTCTTTGGGGTGTGTGGACAGCAGATCAAATAGCTTTAGAGCTAATTAATGCTCATGCTACTTACCTCTCTGTGCTGGTGTTTGTTGAGGGCCAAGGCGTTGGAGCTGTATTGATTATGATAGACACGGTACTTTCCCTCCTGACCCAGCTTGAAGAACTGGCTGATGGTTCCCTTCATCACCACCTCCTTGCTCCGTGTGCTAACGCGGGTGATGTCACCTTGTGCGTTTACTACCAGTACCTGCAGAAATACCATCCAAAATAAGCCTGGACTCAGTAAGACTACAAGATCTTGATAAGATCTCTTCAAAAGACACTAATGCACCATCCCGCTAAGCGCCTTTGTATATAGCTTCTATATGATAAAATGTCTGTTCCCATGTTAGCATCTGACCTCCTTTCCCTCCTTAAAGCCCCTGTTTGCTTCATGAACAGCAGCAGCAACCTGTTGACTTTTCAGCTGACTCAGCTTGCTCTCTGGGTTCCTCAGTCTGGTCACCATACGTGTCGCTGAGGATCTTTTAACGGCACCGCCTGCCGTCTCGCCATTGGTCGAGTCCTTGCTGTCCCCTAGGAAAATAAGGAGTCGTTGAGCCAAAGGAATGAAGAAGAAGGTGCAGAAAGACCAACACAACATGTGCGTGATATTCCATGTCATAAGAGTGTAGTAAGCTTCCATCAGAATAATAAGCAATTTATTCATATCTGTAAAAGACAAAAGGACCTGCGTCGTCAAGGCTCGCCATGGATGACTGGGATGACCTGTCAGCCAGATCAGGGGGTTCAGGACCCCTGATGGGGACAGTGGTTCCTACGCTGCTGTTACTGTTTTCCTCACATGGATGGGAGGGCTGACTTAGGCTCGGGACGCCATCTCCACTGACAGGAGTGGAATCAGATGCTGGGTTTCCTGTCATACAACAGAGGATAAGAAAACATTAATTGAATGGACAGATTAACAGCTTGGATGTTAAATCACTTCAACAAGCATAATGTCTAATCTAAAAATAAATTAAAATGAAATGGATTTACTGAAAATATAGAAAAGTAAACTAAGTTGAAACTAAATACATATAAATATATTAGACATGGTCTTGGTCAAAAAACAAGTTAGGCTTTAGCGCCCTCTGCTGATCATTCTTCAGTAATGCATCAACTGCTTCACTAAACCGTCTACATTTTAAGGATTGGTTAAATAGACCATTATTTGACAATACTGAAATTGATGCAGCTTAGAATTTAAATAGATTAATTTCCTCTTATTATACTTCATTTAAAAGGCATTTAAATAGGTTAAATCTGTGGGAAAGTTTAGAGATGATGGCAACAACATCAGACATGTGACCTTACAGAGGATTAAAAAAAAAAAACACAAGAAGTGAGTTTATTTCCATTTTGGTTTTTTAAAAAATATATAGAAAAAAATCCCCCTTACGTTCAGGCTTATTACGGGGCTGCTCATAGACGCATCGCTCTATGCGAACCTCTAGAGTGGAAGTCAGCTGCTTTGGAGTCATGGCGGGCACACCAGTGGTCAAAACGGAGCTTTGTGAGGGAGTAGAGGTTGACGGGACTGATGGTACGTCCTCAACATTAACGCCTCCTATGCCCTCTTGGAGAGAGGCAGGAGCTTCATGTCCTGCAGAACGTTGCAGGAAATGGTGGACATGTGGGTCAAGTACTGATGTTTAAGTCACTTAAGAAAAAAACTGTCCAGTAAGGGAGACAAATATGATCCAATTATCATTAAATTAAAAATACGAACTGAATAAGAGAAGACAGAAATAAACAACAGATCAGCTCATTTATCAGCCTAAAATAAAAGTTAAATGTGTTCTTTGGCCTGAATTGATCAGAAACATGTTTTATTTCACCATTAAAAGTCAGATGCTGCAACACTGTTGGTGCTAATTTTAAATCACCAAACAAACCTTGGCTCTTTTCATCACCATGTTGTCCCTGTGTATCCTCCTTCTTTTTTGATTCCTCTTCACCATCTTTGGCCTTTACATCCTCCTGCACCTCCTCCTTCAGCTTGACCTCTTCATCTCCCTTCTCCAAAGCTTGCTCCTCCTTCTGCTTCTCTAACCGTGCCTTCTGTGCTTCCTCAGCAGCTCGTCTTTTCACCTCCTCCAGCTCCTCCTCCTTCTTAGCTCGTAGTCGCTCTAAGATCTCATCTAAATACAAATATAGAATGAAAGAAATAACTATACATAAGATCAAATTTAAAGGCTAAGACCATATAAAGGATCTGCTAAAAATATTAAGGCTGTTATGTTTAAGAAGCAGTTACACAAAATAAACTATACCTGGATTAATGCACACATTAGTAATAAAATGACTAGACCTGTAAAACTTTTAATACAGTTGGCATCATAAAGAACTATTTACGCCACAAAAACAATCCAGAAATAAGAAAATATGTCTTAAATCAAGTGTATTAATCCTTAATTTGAGTAGGTAAATAAGATGATCTGACAATGGAATGAGTATTTTTACTCTTAAAATAAAATAATTAGATAATATGCGCCTGAAATAAGACAATGCAATTGTTTTCTTATTTTAACTGTTAATTGT